TTTTAAGTATATGTGGATGATATTGTGGTTAAGTTGGTCAGTGAGAAATACCACATTGAAAGTTTTGATCAAAATTTAAAATGTTAAGGGGTTCTAACATCGAGTTAAACCCTGATAAGTGTTCATTTGTGGTTCTGGCAAGAAGATTTAATGGGGTTTATGATGAGAAAGAGGGAAATTTAGATTAAACTTGAGAAATTTGTGGCCATAATAAACATTAAAAGTTTGACAAATACAAAAGATATCTAAGACTTTTTTGAAAAAAATTGTTTTTCAACTAAAAGATTCATGGCTAAGTTGGCCTATAAGAGTTTTCCTTTCTTCATGTTACTACAAAAAAGTAATTAATTTATTTGATCATTAGAATTCAATTATGCATTCAAAAGTTGAAGGTTTAATTAGCTAGCATGCATTCTCACTCGGCCAACTATAGGATCTCCCTTTGTTATGTACTCGGTAGTTTTAAAAATATTTTGTAGCTCAATGTTGATCCTTGAAAAGGAGCGATGTTGGTCCTTGAAAAGGAGCGGGGGAAAAAGTTGGGAAATTTTTCGCGACACTCATAACTTAAGCGCATAATCTCCATTCATATTTCTCAAGTCACTTTATTACAGTAAGAACAAACTAACCCATATGACTAGTTCTCCAAAGGCTTAACTTGACAAGAATGATGGTTGATTGGTCAATAGTTATCTAAAATAAACAAAGGTTAATCTCCTTTTGATGTTGGCAATTAATTTACAAATAAATAAGAATTTGTTGTTCGTGATCGTATGTTTCAATAGATCAGTGCAGAGGCTGTCAAATTGGAGTTTTGTGTTGTAATTGAAAGATCAGATGATAGTTCAGATATAAGACTTGCATTTGTGACAATAAGATACGAAAGAAGTGACAAGTACACAACTCCTATCCGAAAGTTGAAACGAGATATCACTGGCTCGAATAAATGTAGGTGTCATTTTAAGTTGCGTGAATATCTTTTGCTAATAATAAATGTAGATTCAGTTTGATTTGTGATACACAAAATAATGATATATGTCACAAGCTAGTCGGTCACTCCACTGCATGTCGTCTTATGCTTGAAGAGAATGAAATTTTTTTTGGCGTGACATTGAATTTGGTGTAACCGAAAAACATACTTTCAACTTTGAAACAAAAAAGACCCAAAAATATATTAAATATTAACAAAGTATACAGTTTTTGTACCCAAAACAACTAAGCAACACAAAGGGATAGAACTGAAATGCAACAAATTGTTATAACTTCTATATGATAACCATTATGTATCTAGGTATTGAGTGTGCAAGGATGGAGAAACCGTTCAAGATATATTTTTGACTCATCCTAATTTTATAAAGTTGTTCAATATATTTTCCACTATATTCATTATTGATTCAACGAATAAGACTAACAAGTACGTGTTTTCACTATTGGAAATTGTTGGTGTTACTTCGACGAAGATAACTTTTTTAATGGGTTTTTCATTTTTGAAAATAAAAAAAGAGGACAGCATTAAATAGGCTTTAGAAGTGTGCAAGACAATGTTAAAGTACAAAGAAAACACGCTGAAGGTAATTGTCACTGGTCGTGATACCACATTGATGAATTCGGTTGCAAAGATGTTTCCTACTTCATACACATTACTTTGTAGGTATCACACCTCAAAGAATGTGAGAAGTAGATTTAGGCATATGGTAGGGACCAAACAAATAAAGGGTGAAGATGGAAAATGACCAAAGCTAATGTGATACTGGAAAGAATAATGGACGCTTAGAATTTTATAATAAATTCTTCTACAAAAGAGTTATATGTCGATTATGTTATATTTTTTAAGAAGGAGTGTGACGAATATTTGAATTTCTCGAAATGTGTTAAAAGTACAATTCTAAACCAACTGAAGGAAGATATTGTTTGTGCTTGGATTGATCAAGTTAGACACTTTGAAAATACAACTACTAACCGAGTTGAATCTTCCCATGATACACTATATAATTGGTTGGAAAATAGTAAAGGTGGTTTGTGTAAAGATTTGAACTCTGTGAACCGAATGATCCAAAATCAGTATAATGAGATACATACATCATTTGGTCGTAGCATTATAGTGTTGGAACACAGATTCAAAGACAACAAACTTTATTCACAGTTGGTCGACCACATATCTCGAGCACGATTGAATTTTATTTTTCACAAAGCTAGACGAATTGAGAAAGTAGGTTCAGATAGCTCAAAGTGTGGTTGTACAATTAGGAAGGTGTACTATTTTTCATGTGCTTGTTTAATTTCAAAGAAGGTAAAACTTGATAGCCCAATACAAATGGATGAAGTTTACACTCACTAGAAAAAGCTTTGCTTTGATGTTGATGATGTGATGAAGAATGGTAAATCAAATGTATCTATCTTGACTGAATGGGAAGTAATTCAAGAGAGATTTTTCAAAGTCAATGATAACATGAAACTCCACATCAAAGAGAAATTGATGAAGAATGTTTATCCAAGAACCATGGATTTGAAACAATCGTCGCAACTGGTAAAAACAAAAGGTACTACTAAGAAGGTCAAACAATCACCGAGTGAGAACTCAATGATGGGGTCTCAATCCTATTTTGAACATCTCGACAATTTTCAAATTCTCCAACTCTAAAATCTCAAAAAAGTGTTTTCAAAAGTACTCTCATTAGAAAACCATATCCTACACCACCTTTACCGATATGTCAATTTTTATTCATGAATATATTGAATGGATTGTTAATATTGAGGGTGGTTGTAACAACAATTATCGAGTTGTTTATGATTTGCTCGATAAAGGAGAAGAGAATCATACATTTGTCCGCTAATAACTTATCAAAAAGTTGAAGACGCATAAATAATCATACACAATGGTATATGAAAAAAAAACATTTCGATACAATTCATGAATATTTTATTACTTGTGTTAGCGGTCTGACACCAGAGAAAAAATGAACGAGTTTCACTGAAATAAATCATCTTATAGCAAGTTCATATGATATGATGTGTATTGATCTAACAAGATAAAAGGTTCTAAAAAATATTTTTCCACTTCAGAATGTCTCACCTCAAAATTCAACTAATATATATATATATATATATATATATATATATATATATATATATATATATATATATATATATATATATATATATATATATATATATATATATATATATATATATAACTCTTAAGTTACTCTTCTTAAAATAATTAAGTTTTGCTAACTACTTTTCTATTCTTCCTTTCATACACTCCCCATCCTTGATTTATTAACCGTTTGATTAATAACTTAAGCAAAAATTCATCTTTTTAATATATATATTATTAAATGAGTTGAAATATTAATAGAGATAAGTATATAGGAGAAAAATCCTAATGTTGTATTGTATTTTAGAGAGAGAAATAATTTGAAATTTCGAATTACATTTATTATGAAATATGGATTAATAAATAAATAAATAATTTATAATTATTTTAAAGTAAAAATTATTGATGTCACATGCAAAATAACACATAAATTATACAACAATAACTGGCAGATGTTGCGTTTATGCTGTACATACACAACTGCATACACAATATTACAACTAACTTAAAGCTTTGATTACTTCTTAACAAAAAAATAATCAATGGGCGTATATCGGCCCTCTTTCTGCGACAACTTTTGCTTCTTGGATATGCTTTGTCTATTGATTCTGTGCTTCTGATCCCGACTGAAAAAACATAGACCTATCACATTAAGTACTTTAAACAGAAATGTGGAATCACTGTCTAGTTCAATAATTTACCTTTGAATCGGAATAGATGTTTGGCGAATACTAGATTCTTCCTTTTGAAGCTTTTCAGCCAAATGGAAATCAGAATGTTCTAGTCTTTCCTCAACAAAACTTGGAGGAAGTTCTGTTCCACAGAGTGAACATTTATAGTCATTCAACCACAACATTGCTGTTTCCTGACAAGAATTAAGTCTATCCTCCTCCAGAAGATTAGACCCGTCATTCACATTTTTGCCCTCAAACTGCCCCTGGAATGAAGTTGATCCAAGCAACTCTGTAAATCCACTGTGATGAGAACTAGAAGCTTCATTACCAGAAGTTTGTACCTGGTAAACACGGCAGAGATGATAGATAGTAGCGTTAAAGAACATCAACATGCTCCTCAGTCTGCCAAAACAATTATTCGATTCCGGAAACTGATCTATATCAATATACGCCAGCTACTTAGAAAAATAAAAGAGAGGAGATATACCTTCTCTGCACCATCGTTTTTCCAGAGAGTGCAGCTTTGGTCATTTACATCTAATGAATGATTACCATCAAAAGGATCTCTGCTATCAAGCTGGCTTGTGTGCCGAACATCAATGGAAGGATCAGTTTCTGTATCACTGACAAAGTCATGATCTGTAACATCTGAAAAAGAATTCTTTTTCCTATTGGCTTCTCCTGAAGTAATGAAATTGGTAATTGTCTTCTGTGTGGGATCAGGGGTAGCACTACATTTATCTCCGTTAAACTGTGATACTCTAAGACCTAAGAGGAGAAGAAAAATCTGTTATGCGCTGACTTAGACAAGGAACTAATGTGAACTTGCTCATGGACTATATCTATAAGCAGTAAGCACCCTCTTATATTGGCCTTGAGCACCATTTCAATAATTGGTCACAATAAAGCAAGTTAACAGAAACATATACCTATTAATCTTACTGAAACAGGAAGTTCAGCTTTCAGTAATTTTGACGCATGCTTCAGAATATCCTCACTTGAGTTGATGTAGTTTTGTAAAGTCACAGCTCTATTCCGAACCTATAGATTGAGCATTTTTTACTACTTGCAAGAGAAATATAGTAAGATAGTAAGATGCATGGTGACCATAACATATCCTCAAAGGAACTTGAACAATATTAACAACTTTTCTTTTAACAAAGCTTTGTCCAGAGGAACGTGACCTTTATCATAAACAGAAAATTATTCAGAAAGAAACAGAGTCAAGAAATCACATGTACCTCAAAAGAAGCAGTTTTCAGTTTAAGAGTCAATGTTCGCCCATGAAGACCCTCTTTCTGCATGTCTGTGGACAGCATTTCAGCAAGCTCCGCTGCAAACATAAGCTCGCATGGCACTTTTTTTTTTTATGATTCAATATAACTAAACACTTATCTAATTTAGAAACTTAGCATCTCATAGTCATTAGCTAAAGCCAAGCATGAGTGACAAACTGCAACCTAAACTGAATAAATCTCATGACAATGAAGTTTCAACTTAAGAGGCTCTCCACAAATTCAAACTGATCAACTACAATTATGATGACAACATTCAAAATTTGAAATCAAAATTCCATGAAAGATAAACAATAATTGACAAGACATATACCTAATTTTTTATACAACAGCACTTCATCCTCAGTAGCAGAAAATGTCCTCTCATTGCTGATACTTTTTCGAAAACTTACTTGGGGAGAATCTGTCTTTCCCAGACCTAAACCCACCGAGTAAAAAAAATCTGCAACAAATTGATAAAAATTCACATGCTAATAAAGGGTTTTAAATGATTGATTTAGAATGAAACGTGTGATTATAATTAAAAAATAATCATTAATAAACCCTAAGTTGAAGCTAATAATTGAAACTTGCCAAGTAATGGTTGTAGAAAGTAGAAACTAGAAAGTTTACGGAAAACAGAATTTTCAAAATAGATATTAGATTTCAAAGATAAAAAATGTTCAAAAAACCATGTGAACTTTAGTCGAGCTGCCACATAAATGTAGGAACCCTATAGGACAGTGCACACTAGTTTTGCATGTTAATAGAAAAAGGCAATATAGAAACAAATATCTAACCTGCTGTTGACTGAGAAAAAAGAGCACACAGGTAGCTACCCTTATCCAGCATCTGCTCACATGTGCTTATTCCAAAAACATCTTTCAAAATATGTTCAGTTACCTTACCAATGCCTCCAATCTGTCAACACTATCAATCATTTTTAATCAGAAAGGCATCTCTTTCAAATACATATACATAATAAAATTACAGTCATAATAAATAACTAGGAACAACACCAATAATTGCAAACGAGAATATAATAACAACTTATGTGAAATTAGTATACAACTAAATCAAACATACCTTTCTGATAGGAAGAGAGGATATGAAAGTCATAACAGCCAGGCGGTCATTTGGCAAAACATACTGTCCATTTGGTTTGTTTATGTCTGAGCATACCTATAGGAGAGTAAAATGTCAATAATATAAACTCACAGTATGAAATTTCCCAAGATTACCAGACAATCACTATAGTCGACATCACTACTACTTTTGAGTTTCTGCAGAATAACAAGTGCTTGAAAGAAGATTGATGCATGAGACTCTAGTTCACGATATTAAAAGTGGAAATCATGGACATTGCAAAACAATGAAAGCAGTCATATAAACCTACATGTTTTTATATATAAAGGTTATCTGATATACAGATAAAAATTAAGGCTAAAAATTTAATAAAAGGTAACTGGCACTATCAGGGGATATTAAGAGAGAAATGTAGAGATACACAAGTAGTACAACTTCATTATAGAATGAAAGAGTTCGGAAAACAAAAAACAAAAACGTGAAGATTTTTCCTTTCTTATTAATGTGCAAGTGTAGTTTCCTCACTAAATGCATTTCATTTAAAGAAAAAGAAAACAGCCTGGCAGAGTATTGTCAAATTGCAGATAAAGTGGCAGCCGATATAGTGGCACTATAGCATAGCTGAATTTTAACAAACTGCAATTGTAATGTAATACACAATTTAGTACAAAGAATTGTCAGATTGCGGCTATAACAGTGCTATAGCACTGTAACAGCAGAATTTGAACAAACTTTTCTGCAATCCATGATTGACAATACTGTGGTGTGGGTGGCAAGCACAGATGTAACACATAGGCTAGCATACTTAAATGTTACAAGAAGATGATTTAAAACTAGCTTCCACTTCAAATGGGCTGATAACATTGCTATGTAAAATACGTTTAGCAAAAATCATACAGAACCTTAGCTAGCAAACGATTTGGTGCCACTCCAGCACTACATGTGAGCCCAGTCTCTTCATGAACACTGTCTCTGAGTTCTTGAGCAATCTACAAATTCCAATTTTAGAAAAAATAAGAGGTTTAATATATTTGAAGTTCTTCTGTTGCAATTTTAATTTGACCCCAACTTACTTCTTCACTTTTGACATTCCTTTCTCTGCAAACTTCAGTTATATCGAGGTATGCTTCATCCAGGCTACCAGCAATGAAATTGGTATCGTACCTCTGAAAAACTAACAAGAAAGTGCATTTTAAGCTACCATTAGTAGTTAAAGGAAAAGACACAATATATAACGCAATCACACAAAAAAGAAAACCTTTTCTGGTCAAATCACTGTAATGTGTATACTTTTTGAAATCTGTTGGGACTAGGATTAACTCTGGACATAGCTTCCGTGCAATGAACCCAGGCATGGCAGAGCGAACCCCAAATTTCCTGGCCTGCATAAAGACGAAAAGAGGATCACAAATTCCATGTAATGATAGAGTTCAAGCAGATTAATTCTTCAACTGTCCATCAAATCAGTTCAAGCTTATAGTATATTTGACAAAATAAACCTCATAATTGGCAGTGGATAACATAGACATGCTACCAACAGCCATTGGCTTGCCCTTTAACGTAGGGTTACTTAAAGTCTCAACTGCTGCATAGAAAGCATCCATATCTACATGTAACCAGATCCTTGAAAGGTCACGGGAAGCTTCCAGCTCAAGAATCCTTCTTTCAGCAACCTGGCATTGGAAAACAAAAACTAATGTATTGAATTAATGAATATCGTTTTGAAGAATTTCAAGAAGAAAATAATAATAACAAAAATAACTAAGTTAAGAAGCTGATATTAAGGACTACTCATAAAGATGCATGTGATTGAAGATATTGAAAGGAGAAAAGATGTTTAATATGTAAACATGAAGAAATAGGTGGAAAAATACGTCTGACTTTAATCCTAACAAGTCATACATATGTATTAGAAATAGGTGGAAAAAACCACCAAAGTACACAATAAAAGTTATCAGATCACACAAGATGTGTCACACTGATCACCAAAAAGAGAATACAACGCTACAACAACAAAACCAAAAAATAGAAGACAACACAGGAAAAAAAACAACTAAAAACCTCACCCCGTAGGATTCAGGCTAAATCTTAAACCAACAGAACCACCATCGACAGATCAGAGTCCACCAAGAGAAACACCAAAAACCACATACCAAAACCATCTCCAGAATCAAGACAAAACACTCGATGCACTATAGGTTAAGACAAAGGATAGGGTTCTGAAGGTAGTTGGAGAAAGTGCATGAGTTCACTTCTGATCTTCCTAGAAACCATTTTCAAGGGAAAAAAAACATTCTTCTCCTCCACTTCTTTCACAGATGTTGAAGCACCGAAAAAGATGTCATTATTATAGACCATCCAAATAGATCAGAGAACAGCATGTCAAATCATAGTAAACTCCCCCTAGACTTAGCCCTACCATTTAAAGAGAGAAGAAACTCAAAAAGAATCATGTGAACAGTGAACACCAAGAAGAACCACCTGTCAACCCAACCATTGAAAAATGCTATACCACACCATGACTTATTGACATTGTAAGTAACAATTTATAAAAACTAAACTTGAACAATTTACAAAATTATTAAACAAAATTGAAAACTAATAGATTCACTTCAAATGACACAAACAATTATCTTAATGGAAATAATAATGACATGCCTTTTGGTAATGAGATAAATCAGACTGTGAAAGCTTTGCGAATTGAAGTCGCATGTTGTCAATTTTCTGTTTGATAAAAGCTTCCTTCCGTTCCTCATTCTGGAAATATTTGGATCCTTTGCTCATTTCATACACTACCCTCTGTACTTTCTCCTTGTCAACCCCTTCCATTCCTAAATAATACACCATTATTATTATTATATTTTCATCAATTATAAGACAAGTTACAGAGATTATGAATAAAATAAACTAAAGAAATATCATCTCCTACTATACAATTGTTGAGAAACAAAAAGAATAGCATATATTTCTCAAGAATAAAAAATGAATGTGAGGTTATGGTAGAAATTAACCTGCTTTAGCAGTTGTGTAGACAGTGTTGTAAGACTGCCATGGATGAGGAGATACAGCGTCGCTATTGCCTTCGCTTCCCTCCATCGCCCTCTTCTCCGATTCGCGATGCTTTCTCTGTTTGACTTGCCGCGCAACCCCGTTTCACGCCAAACTTGATGGGCCTTTCATATTGGACTCTTCCTCCCTCCTTTGAAGAATTTAACTTTGGAGAATCTAACTTGTTATACCCCATTTATATCTAACATCCCATAATTTTAAATTTTCAAAAATGCTTTGTTATTATTTACAACCAAATTTTATTTTTATTTCAATATTTTTACTCTTAGTAACATATTAAAAATAAAATTTTTGGTAGTCCAACCAAAATTTCTAATACATATTTTTTTACATTTATAAAAAATTCTCGCATTCATACCAGAATTTTAAAAATTTATGGTAAAAAATATTAGAAATTTCAAAAAAACTGATAAAAAATATTAAAAATTTCAAAAAATTCAATAAAAAATATTGAAAATTTCAAATATTTCCAAAAAAATGTCAAAATTTCCAAAAAAAAAATAAAAAACTCCTGCAAATTTAAAATTTTCCAATAATATTACATAAAAAAATTGTAAATTTTCAAAAAATTTAGTGCAGACTGAAAATTTCTTGTAAAAACCTCTAAAATTTCTGAAATTTATCCAAAGGTGTGACGGTAAAATTGCTTTAAATAGGTAACGTCATGTATAACTGAGGGTGTCAAATTAAATGTTGTTTAACTTGTCACCCCACATTTATACTTGATATCTTCATAATTTTAAATTTTAAAAAATGTCCTTGCTATTATTTACCAACTAAAATTTACTTTTCTTCAAAAAATGTCACTCTTACTAACATTTAAAAAATAAAATTTTTTGTATTTTTAAAAAATCTCACATTTGTACCTGACTTTTGAATTTTCCTGGTGAAGAAATACCGAAAATTTAAAAAAAAAAAATCTGATATTTTCATGGAAAATCTTAAACCCATATTGAAAATTGTTAAAATTTTCAAAAACAAAAATAAAAACTTCTGCAAATTTAACATTTTTCAGAATATCGAAAATTGTAAAGTTTTCGGCATACCAAAAATTTTGCTTGTGCTCCAAAATTCTAGTAGTAGTGTAAAAAAAAACAAAAATACTTTATTTGTGTGGTCCGAAGCCGACAGGGTAGTCTACAAATTTGTGTACAGATTTTACGCAATTCTTCACCACTAACGCGATATGTTTTCTATGTAACAAGTTTAATTTAAATATTTTTCCGCCTCTATATGATATTGATAGTATACTTTTATGTGATGTAAATTGCAGATATTTCAGTTATGATCTGAAATTTTAGCATGGACACAAAATATTGACAAACAACGTGGTATTATTGTTATGATTGTTTGTTCTAATACTACAAATGGCAAGCAAGGTAGGAAAGACAAATTGATTATGGATTGTGAGAGAGGAACATAAGGCATTTATAATATGAAAGTGAAATGTCCTTATAGCCTGAGATCTGCACTGAGTGATAGCAGTTGGAAGGTGATAGTTAGGTGTAGGTTGCACAATCATAAACTATTTAAGGATTTAAAAAGCCATGACATATTGAGTCGTCTAAGGTTCATAAAATACAGTTTATGAATGACATGACGAAGTACAACATGCCTCCACGACACATAGTTGCTACTTTGAAAGACAAAGATCCAGAAAACCACACTAGTGTAACCCAGGTGTATAAAGTTAGAGCTACACACAATGCGAGAAAGAGATGTCCATTTACAAAAACGCAAATATTGTTTAGTCTTATTCATATAGAAAGATACATGTGTTGAACTAGAAATATGGAAGACTTAAATGTTGTTGCTGATATCTTCTGGATACATCCTAATTTAGTGAAGTTGTTGAATATGTTTCATTTGGGGTTATTTTTTATTGTACATACAAGACAAATAGATAATGTGCATCGTGGTCATACTTTGATATCTTTTCGACATACTTTGATTTATCAGATTTTTTATTATGTGCATCGTGATCATACATGTATCGACTACCATTACTTGAGATTGTTGGTGTTACCTCAACAAAATGACGTTTTTGGTAAGTTTTGCTTATTTGGAACATGAAAGGGAGGAGAACTTCAATTGGGCATTGGAGAAGCTCAAAGAGTTGTTCTCTTTCGAAAAATTGTTACTGAAGGTTGTGGTGACGGACCAGGAACTTGCATTGATGAATGTCATGGAACTTATGTTTCCAAATTCAACTCATTTGTTATGTTCGTTCCATATTTTAAAAAAATGTTCGCGTGAAATGTAAAGAGTATGTTAAATCAGAAAGACAATAGCATGTCGTGGATCCATGGAACAATATCATGATAATAGAGAAATTGAGTTTATCGCACACTAGAAACACTTTGAGACTATTTGTGATGATATTCTTTTATTTGCTAAGTATGTGATTGAAACATGGTAGACACCTTGTAAAGAAATGTGTGTTGCTGCTTGGACTAACAGAGTTACTCATTTAGGGAACACAACAACGAACAAGTACATGGATGTCATTTTGATGTTATTACATTACTAAACATAATTTAACATATATTTCTAATTATTATTTTTAAGGTGGAGTCTGCTCATTAGAGACTAAAAAACATGTTGACTACAAGTCGGGGATATTTATGTCGAAGTTAGGATGCTGTAAATTCCATGTTAAAGTTGCAGCTAGGTTCAATCAAGGTCTCGTTTTAAAAACGTATTGTCAACATTGAGCATCGATAAAATACTCCATTCTATACCAACTTGCATGATTTTGTTTTAAGACAGTGTATACAACACATTGGAAAGGAACGAGAAATGGTGAAATTTTTTGGTGCAAGCCAAGTCACTTGTGGTTGCTTCATTAGAACAACACACGAGTTACCTTAAGCATGTTTACTTGTTGGTTTTCAAATACAAGGCAATCATGTTCCTTTATAACCAAATCATGTTTTTGAAAGAAACTACACATTGAAGAGCATGATGTCAGTCATGAAGAAAGTGGCACACAGTTTGATTTAGAAGTATAGTGTGAAAAGTTGAAGACATGTTTCAGTATTTTGGATATTGTAGGTTGGAGGGTGTTGAAAAAAAGGTTCAAAAACTAACACATCCATCCACAACTTTTATGTGTCCACCGCCGGAGAAGTACAAGCCAAAAAAGGGAAATAAAAATAGTAAAAAAGGGTGAAAAGAGTGATGTGCATTGTGATCCTTCACAATGGGAGTATGGTGAGGGCTCGCAGGGGAGTCGGACTACAAAGAGATCATGCACAAAGCTAATTGGAAGTCAACCGTCAAGTATGTCGGGTAGAATTCAATCGTCCACTACATCTTCGAGATATCTCTACTTGTCTCAATTTCCTGATTTCTTACATCTATACATTAATGACATTGTTGATATGGATGACAATGGAAATTCTGGTTTTTGGGTTATTGCATCTTTACTTAAATGGGGCAAAGAGTCACAATCTTTAATTCAGACGCAGTTAGATACTCAAGTTCATCAACACCACCCATTGTTTTTGAATTTATTCTATGACACATTATCTGAAGTTAGGAATGCATTACGAGTATAATACTTGGGTGTGCAGGGTATTGATAAATAGATGATGGTTCCTGATATGGGTTACTCTATTTCTTGTAGGTACAATGTCGTATTTGTCTCCCTGTCATAGACTTTTAACATTACATTTTTCCATCTTACCTTAACTCCACCAATGTATACAAGCAGACATAAAATCATTGTTGTTGGTTTTGTCAACAACAATCACTGAGTTTAGGTAAAGTTGAAACTTGATAGTCCATTGCCTTTTGTCACTGACCGTTGGAGACATAACTGTACTGAAGATGCAAAAGCATGAGAATTAGTTTATGCATGACGAATTAGTCCCTAGGAAGATGAAATTAGGAAGTCATCCTAATTTATTTTGTAATCTTTTATGTAGCACACTTTTTATTATATGTATATATTATATCAGGTAGTTTTTTTTATCAAATCAGTTATGTATGAATACATTGAAAATGTCACAATTTCTCAATTTCCGGTACATCCCTCTAGATCTCTACCGAAAATGTCACAATTTCTGTTATGTTTTTATCGAAAATTCTAAATTTGCGGTACACGTGTCCTTGTTGCGGTAAAAAATGGATATGTCCAAAATTTCTAGTACATATTAGAAATTCCCGATATAAGCATGTAATTTTCTAAAAATTATGATACTTATAAATGGGTATAACAGTAAAAAGTACTCTAAATATGGGGGTGTTAGGTATATGTGTGGGGGTGGCAAGTTAAACCCTCCTCCTCGTTAAGCATAACAAGTTTCTCCCCAACCCAACTTCTCTCTTCCTTGGAAATTTGAGAATTGATTAATGAACTCTGTATATTACTATGGCACATCGTGAAAAATACAAAAATGCTTCGAGATTCTGGAGATGCATCTCCTTACACACTCTGAGCAAATAGAATTTAGACTTAACCGTAAAAAAATCCAGATATACATCTTCGTAATTATTTCAGAGATGCATCTTCGAATGATATTAACTTTATAACGCTTCAGAACCCTTCTCCTTCCTCATTTCTAAAAAAAACACAAAAAAATATCTCAAACTCTCTTAACTCACATTCTTTCAAAATCAATCAACCAAGTTTAAAAGTTATTCCATCAACATTAAGTACATCAGAGACATCATTCAACACTGAAGTAAACTATCAATTTATAAGTTTTTGATTTTTTTAGTTTTTGTTTAAATGAGTGGAAATTGATGATTTTGGTAAGAAATGAGCATAAATTGCATGGATGAGAGTTTATACATACTGTAAAAATTGTTTGATGGTTAAAAATAACAACCCAACCATTTTTATGGGTTTTATGGTCTTCATTACCGCCATTGACGGACCCGAAGAGTTGCAGAAAATTCTGAAGATGCATCTCCGAAAATTTTCAACGTTTGGATAACCAATGACCAGAGATGCATCTCCGTAAAGTATCAGTTTTTTTTCTTGCTTGTAGGGTTGCTTTTACTAATTATCTGTTTACTTA